CCTTCCACTTAGATGTATGCTGTCTCCGGAACACGCATACAAGATCCTACTTCAGTTATCTCCCTCCGTTCTCCAGATCCAACCTTATCCTCACGCTTCACTCTCCTTGTGTCAGGCGATTCGGCATCCGAAGCTCGCGGTGTTGCTGGCGTTGGGATTGCGCTAAGTGGCAAGGCCGAGTGTTCACTTCTCGAATGGATCCCGGTTAACAGCCGACGTTACGCCATACGTCTGGATGGTTCAGTACGCATCAATCAAATCTGTGATGCGTCCGTCATGTGAGATATAGCTGCCCAAATAGCAAAATTTGTCTACCTCCCCATTTAAGGTGAGGCTCGATGCTTGGTTCACTTAGTCTTGTAGTAACATTTTACACTTTGAAGGTACAGAACGCATACCGAACATGGCAACACTAGCACTCAAACTATCCAGAAAAGCCTGCAACCTACCTGGATCGTCACTTAGTAGCACAATGTCGTCTGCATACTCTAGATCAGGCAACCTGGGAGTAAATCGATGCCACTGCCCTCGCACGGGGATAGGGCTGTTTCCATAATCAGACCGATAACGAAGTTTAATAGAAAAGGAAAGAGAGGGCGACCCTGTCGATCACCACTTTCCATGGTGAACTCGGGAGAAAAAGTGCCGTAAGCTGGGAATCGACTTGTGCTATTAGTATAAAGCGATTATAATATTGAAATTAACTTCTGGGTCACTCTTTTCGGAAAAAGGCAGCGCCAGAGTTTAGAGCGGTCGACTGAGTCGAAAGCCGCTTTTAGATCGAGGAAGACAGAAATGTCGGGTCTACCAAACGAGTGCCTGTGTTCTAGAATTTGATGAAGGGTGAGGATGTGATCTTTACAACCTAGATCAGCCTGGCTCTCACGTGCGTCGGACCATAGACGGAGTATGATGCCATCGAGAAATTTAGAGGCAATATTGATTAAACTAATTCCTCTGTGGGTTCACAAGAGGATCTTTCGCCTTTCATGTAAATCGGTATGACGACGGATTCACACCATTCAGTTGAAACCCGTTCCCTCTCCTATGCTGAACCCAGGATTTGTGTTCACTCCCAAACCAAGGCTGGACCACCATCCTTGAAAAACGGATGGGGACAGCCCGTCGAGGCCGGAAGCCTTATGCCGTTTCCCGGGTAACCTCCATTTCAGATGAAGGAGTGATTTCGACTGGCAATATTTGCACAGTTGAACCGGGTGTGGGGAGGTCTTGTGTCGAAGGGGACCAGCTGAACTGTGCCTTAAAATGTTCTGCCCAACG